GTCGTAGAATTAGTAGTAGCAGCAGCAGCAGCAGCAGCAGTAGTAGTAGTAGTAGTAGTAGCTCGTAGTAGCCATAGTGATACGAGTCGTCGCACGAATAGTCGCAATAGTTATCGCACCGGAAATAATCGCAGTCGTAATAGTGAGAGTAGTGCTACCGCTAACAGAAGTAGTAATAGTAGAAGTAGGAGTAGTAGTAGTAGTAATCATAATAGTAATAAAAGAAAACGTCGTACTATCGTGATAGGAATACAAATTGTAGTCCTGGCAGTAGTGGTAATAGTCGTCGTCGACGTCATAATAACACAGTAGAGGTAGTCGTAGTAGTAGTAGTAGTAGCAATAGTCGCCGTAGTAATAGTAGTACCACTACTGCTACTACTACTACTACTACTACTACTACTACTACTACTACTACTATTACTACTACTACTACTACGACTACTCCTACTGCTACTACTACTACTATTACTACTACTACGACATCGTCTACGACAACTACTACTACTACTACTACTACTACGACGACTACTACTACTACCACCACTACTACGACTACGACTACGACTACTACTACTACTACTACTACTACTACTACTACTACTACTACTCCCACTACTACTTGTCGAAGTCGCAGTAGTAGTAGTAGTAGTAGTAAGAATAAAAGCGCTAGAACTAATAATAGCAGCAGTCGTAATCGTGGCATTACTAGTAGGCGTAGCAGTATACATCCGAGCAGTAGCAATTGTCGCAGTCACACTGGTCGTAATAGAAGTAGCCGTAGTGCGAGTAGCAATCGCAAGAATATCCGCAGTCATACTAATAGCATGTTAGAAGTACCACTGGAATTCATAGTACCAGTGATTCTAGTAGCAGTAGTAGTAGCAGCAGTAGTAGTAATAGTAGTAGTAGTACTGGCGATAGTAGTAGTAGGAGTAGTAGTAGCAGTAATAGTAACAGTGGTAGTACTAGTAGTAGTAGCAGTAGTAGTAGTAGTAGTAGTGTAGTAGTAGTAGTAGTAGTAGTAGCAGTAGTAGTAGTAGTAGTAATAGTAGTAGTAGTAGCGTTTGTAGTAGTACTGGTTAACGTGGAAATACTGGAAGCAGAACTAAAAATAAATGAACAAGTAGTAGCAATAGCAGTAGTAGTCGTAGTAGTGGTGGTAGTCGTAGTCGTAGTCGTAGTAATAGTAATAATAATAATAGAAGCACTAGAGGTCGTAGTAGTACAGCTCGCAATATGTATGCTCATCCTGGCAGGTACACGAATATCATACGCACATGATGGACATCCGCACAATAGTTATGTGCGTGCGTACCCACACATATCGATGCACTTACGTAGTGACGCATAACCTCGCGTAAACAGATGTACAGCTTCACGCACCCAACTCTATACATGAGGCGGTTTAATTGTAGGCCCAGCGAAACATGCAGACATACGTGCATGAATGCATATACATACAAAAATACGGACAGACAGACAAACAGACAGACAAACACAGGCAGACATGGCATACATACATACATACATGCACAGATGCACACACACACATACATACACACATACGTACGTACATACGTACACACGTGCATGCATACATACATACATACACGCACAGCAACACACCGACAGACGTACGTGCATACACACCGACAGACGTACGTGCATACATCCATATACACATACATACAAGCACATACATGCAAAAAACGAGAGCGCGTGATCCACCGCCGCTTAACTGTGGAAAATTCCCCCCCCTCTTCCTCCGGAACCCGGGGGTCCCCCCCCACCTCCGAAAATCCCCCCCCCCTGGACCCCCCCCCCTCCCCCCCCGGCAAAACCCGCCCCTCCCCTAACCCCCCCCCTCCCCCTTCCCCCCCCCCTCCCTCGAAAACCGCCACTGCCAGTTCGAACCCCCCCCCCCCCTCGAAAACCGGAGGGGGGTCACTACCGGTTCGAACCCCCCCCCCCCACCTCACCGCCAGCAAACGACTCCCGGTCCCTACCACCGTCCGCACCACATCCCCCACTGTTGTTCCCAGCACCACTGTCCTCACCACCACTGTCCCCACTGGTTCCACCACCGTCCCTACTGTCCCCACCAGTGCCCCCACCACTGTCGCACTGTCCCCACTGTCCCCACGACTGTTCCTACCACGGTTCCAATCTCCCCACTTTCTCCACGGCCCCAACCACTGCCCGACTGTCCCCACTGTCCCCACTGCCCCACTGACCCCTCTGCTGTCCCACTGAACTGTCCCACTGTTCCCACCACTGTCCTCACTGTCCCCACCACTGTCCCCACTGTACCTTTGTCCCATTGTCCCACCGCCGTCCTCGCCACCGCCTTCACTTCACCACTGTCCCCACCTCCACTGTACCCTCCACCGTCCCACTGTTTTCACCACATTCCCACTGTCCCCACACCACTGTCCCCACCACCACCGTCCCCACCACTGTCCCACTGTCCCCACTGTTCCCACCATTGTCCTCACCACTGTCCCCACCACTACCGTCCCCACAACTGCCCCACTGTCCCTACCACTGTCCCGCTGTCCCCTCACCACTGTCCCCACCACCACCGTCCCCACCACCCCCCCCGGGGGGGGGGGGGTTCGAACCAGTAGTGACCCCCCCCCCCGGTTTTCGAGGGGAGGGGGGGGGGGTTCGAACAGGTAGTGACCACCCCCTGTTCATGATGGACTGGGGGGGGAGGACTGGGGGGGGGAGGGGGGAGGGGTTCGAACCGGTAGTGACCCTCCCCAGTTTTCCGGAGGGGGGGGGGGTCGAACCGGTAGTGACCCCCCCCGGTTTTCCGCCAGCAGCGGTAGAACACGCTCTTTCCAAAAAACAGGCATGCACATATGCATGTACCTATACATATGCACAAACACAAACATATATATATATATATATACATATATATGTACATGGGCATGAATGTATGCGTACATATAGAAATATGCATATACATATACATATACAAATACACATGCCCATACTCATACATTTATGGGCATGCACATGTGCATACACATGTACACATACATATACGTACATACATATATGTGTATGTATATCTACGCACAAGCATAGACATGTACATACATAGGTACATATATATATGCATATCTATATATGTGTGTGTGTACGAAATCATATACATATACAGATGTATATACATATATCTATACACATATATATATATACATACACACATATATAGAAATCAGCCAGCGATGACTCCGAATCTATAGAAGAACAGGAGGAGGACGAGAGGAGGATGGAAGTAGGACGAAAGGGGGACGGGAGCAGGACGGGAGGAGGACGGAAGGAGCAAAATCAAGCAAGCGCAAGCAAGCAAGCGGAAGCTAGCAAGCGCAAGCGAGCAATGACAAGCAAGCAAGAGCCAGCGATCAAGTGCAAGCAAGCAAGCGCAAGCAAGTGCAAGCAAGCGATAGCAAGCACGCAAGAGCAAGCAAGCAAAAGCACGCAAGAGCAAGCAAGGGCAAGCGACTCATAGGAATACATAGAAATCCATAGGACTCGCCATTGGAAATAGCGGGGGGTGCCATTGGAAATAAGCATAGGAGCGCACAGATGTGGTGCAGAGGCATAGGCATAGGCATAGGCGTAGGCATAAGAGTCAGGGGGAGGCATAGGCATAGGCATAGGCATAGCCATCGGAATTAGGGGGGGCATAGGAATTTGGGGGGGAGGGGGGGGCAACGGACCAAGTACCAGGGTGTGAGTTGGGAATCTTATAGAGCAAACCTATTTGGAGTATAAATATATGTGTATATATATACACATACATACATACATGCATACACATACATACATGCATGCATGCATGCATGCATTCATACATACAGTGGCAATTCGCGCCACGCACCGCGGCCCTTGAAGCTTGGCGGGCAGGCGAAGGTCGCGGCAGCAGGGCAGGAAGGTAAAGCGGAAACAATAGCGACACCCCCTCGCTGCCTTGTCCGACATCGTCGTCATAATGATACCACTCGTTATCCTTCCCTCATATTTCTCTTTTTTTTCCTCATGATCGCCCTCCCCTGCGAATTGTTCCCCATCATCTTCTGCTCTTTTCGCGGAGGCTCCTTCTTGGAGAGCTTTTCGGGGGCATCACGAAAGTTTTACATGGCTTCTTGGACCCTTCTGGAAGCCTTCCGGGCGCCTTCTAAGAGCCTCCAGGGGCTTCCTCGGCATCCATACGCAAAAAAATGATCCCCAGGTCTGGGGAAGATTTTGGCCTTCTCGCCTTCTCGGGCTTAGACACCTCAAGACAGCCCCAGAAGCCCTGCTCCAAGAAGCCCCCGAGAGGGCCCCAACACGGCCCAAGAGGGCTTCCAAGGTGGCCCAAGAGGCCACCAAGACAGCCCCCAGACGTTCCAAATGTGCCCCAAGACGGCCTAAGAGACCCCCAAGACGGCCCGTGGAGGCCCCAAGACGACCCAGAGACGCCCCCAAGACTGCCTCCGACGGCGCCAGACGGCCCAAGAGCGCCCGAGGGGAGCCGAAGGCGCCCCCAGGACACCCCAAGAAGCCCCAAGCAGCCCCACGATGTCACCAAGAGGCCCACAGGATGCCTCCAAGAGGCCCCCGGGAGAGCCGAAACGCGCACACGCACACGCACACACACACACACACACACTCTGCGCATGCTGCACGTGCACCCCGACGCGTGGGGCCAGTGCTGCCCGACGTGGCGACGGAGAGCGCCCGCCGAAAAGCCAGACGGAGGCGGGGCCCGCAGCTCGTCCGCGCGCCCGGGCTCCTGCCCGCGCTCGCCCCGACTCGAGGCCTGAGCTGATGAATAAGACCCAAAGAGAATACCTCGACAGACTTGCGGCTGGTTTGAAGCCGAAAGTCCTCAGCCAGGCCGAGAGGAAGGCCAGGAAGTCGAGCACACTTGAAGGGCTGAGGATGTGACGAACTTGCATCCGCAACGGGCTCCACTCCACTCCACTCCGCCCCTGCGCCCTTTTGCTCGCCGCCGAGCCCCCCTATCAGTACCTTTCCGACGAGGCGGCGCGCCGGGCGGGGTGCACTGAGGCAAGCGGAAGTGCGTGCAGAAGCGGTGGCAGCCTTGTGCGCACGCGCCGGGTGGCTGAATTACGGAGCACGGCCATTCGGAGGCCGGTCACTCCTACGGGCAGCCGATTGAAACATCAGCGGCGTGCACTTCGTACATTGACACGTCGAGCACTGCTGGAGATTACATGCAGTCTCCTCCTCACAGGGACCATCTCCCTCCCCGTACTTTGCACACCCCAACCTCAAGGCGTCGCGAACGAGAGCTACAAAGAGCTATGCCTTCGTTGCTTAAGCGACCGAAAGGCCCTGCGACCATCTCAAAAGGTCCAGGGACGAAAAAACGGCCCCGGGCACGAGCGATCAGCGTGTCCGAGATGGCCCTCGATAGTCCCAAGGTGGCCCCAGATGGCCCAAGGTAGCCTCCGAGATTGCGCAGGATTGCCTGAGCTGGTCTTGATAGCCTCCAGCATGGCTTCAAGACGCTCCCGGAGGGCCCTGAGAAGGCTCTGGGGTGGCACCCAGGCCTCCCGCGGAGACCCCCAAGCTGCCGGAAGCTCGAGGTGTCTGACGATGCTCGCCCTCTCGCACTTTCGGCGGCCGACGATCTGCAGAGGCCTCCTGGGAGGGCCCCAGAGAGGAGGAGGAGGAGGAGGAGGAGGAGGAGGAGGAGGAGGAGGAGGAGGAGGAGGACGAGGAGGAGGAGGAGGAGGACGAGGAGGAGGAGGGAGGAGAGGAGAGGAGGAGGAGGAGGAGGAGGAGAGAGGAGGAGGAGGAGGAGGAGACCCTTCCTGGATGGGAGCCTGACAGGTCCTTCGAGGCGCGCCCCGCCGGGCCGACGACGGCCCCCCCGACCCGAGGGCCACCGGAACGGAGGAGAGGCCGTCGCGGGGACGCCAGCGGAAAGGTCGGCCAGGCCTGCCCGAGGCGAGCCCCGCACCCCTGCGTTGAGTCAAGACCGTTTGCCGCGCAGGATTGCACTCCTCCTCCTCCGCCTCCTCCTCCTCCTCCTCCTCCTCCTACTCCGCCTCCGCCTCCGCCTCCTCCTCCTCCTCCAAACTCCAGGAGTGTTTCTGAACACGGTCCAGGCCCACATCTACGAAAACTCTACGAAACTTTTTTGGGTCGGCGGGTCGAGAGCGGGCCTCTTCCGGTTAAGGGCTAGGCGGGACGCGCAGAGCACTAATTGGGGAGACAGAGCACAGGCAGGCGGGGCCTCAGGCGGCCGGAGGTGTGTTTCTGAACACAGTCCAGGCCCAGATCTACTAAAGCTCTACGAAGCGAGCGGCTCCAAGAAGACGCCCAGGGCCCAGTCCAGGTTCCTGATGCGCTTGAACGAAATCTGGGGTCCCTGAAACAGAAGAAGGAATAACGTCATCAACACAAACCAGGGGGGGCCCAGCGCGGATCCAAGAAATCTGGGCGGAGCGCCAAAGTGTAAGTTTATGGCGTTTCTTCTTCTTCGTCGATGAAAGCTGTTGCTTCTCCTGAAGATCTCTGACGGGCGCAGCTTCGGGAGGCCCAAAAACGTGACCCCAGGACGGCGTGCCCCCAGTGGGGCGTCGCAGGGGCGCATGATAATAATTATCAGAATTATAATCTTATAATTATATCATTATAATAATAAGTATTATTAGTATTATTATTATTATCATTATTATTGGTATTATTATTAGTAGTATTAGTATTAGTATTATTAGTAGTAGTATTGTTGCTGTTATTATGAGTAACAGTATTATGAGTAGTATTACTAATACTAATAATAATATTATTATTAGTAATATTGTTAATATTATTATTCGTAGTATGATTATCATTATTATTACTACTACTATTATTATTACTACTACTACTACTACTCCTACTACTATTATTATTCTTATTCTTATTAATACTACTATTATTATTACTACCACCATTATTATTAGTAGTATTGATATTAGTATTAATAATATTAGTATTATTCGTATTATCCGTATTCTTCTGATTATTGTGATTATTATTATTATTCGTCTTCTTATTACTATTATTTAACTTATTAATATTATTACTATTATTATTCGTGGTATGCTGAATATCATTCTTATGATTAGTATTATTATTAGTAGTAGTATTACTAGCATTCTTAATATTATTATTGTTCTTATTCTTATTAATATGATTCCTCCTCCTCCTCCGCCACCTCCTCTTCCTCGTCCTCCTCCTCCGCCTCCTCCTCCTCCTCCGCCTCCTCCGCCTCCTCCACCTCCTCCTCCTCCTCCTCCGCCTCCTCCTCCTCCTCCTCCTCCGCCTCCTCCTCCTCCTCCTCCTCCTCCGCCTCCTCCTCCTCCTCCTGCTCCTCCTGGGAAGAGGCTGGACGAGGGTGGCGCCTCTTCTGGTCTTACCGTAAACTTGAAAGCCCTTTATCAACTTCTCTCCCTCTCTCTCTCTTGCTCTGTGTCTCTCTCTCTCTCTCTCTCTTTCTCTCTCTCTCTCTCTCTTTCTTTCTCGTTCTCTCTCTCTCTCTCTCTCTCTCTAAACTCGCTACAACGAGAATCATGTTGTAAGTGCAACACCAAAGAATTTCTTGTGTAAAAGCGCTACAAAAGGAATCCGATTGTAATGCAGTCACACGAGGGATCCTTCTGTAAGGCCGACACAAAAGGAATCCTTTTGTAAAGCCGCCGCAAAAGGGAAATCCTTTTGTAAGGCCGCCACAAAAGAATTCTTTTTGTAAGGCCGCCACAAAAAGGAATCCCTTTGTAGGGCCGCCAGAAAAGAAATCCCTTTGTAAGACGGCTAAAATTGCCTTGGGAGCCAGCAGCGGGAAAAAAAAACTAGGAACACCATGAAAAGCAAGGAGAACAAGGAAAACACCGCGGAAAACAATAAAAAACAGCAACATAATTGCGAAAACGCATAAAAAACAATGAAAACCAAAGAAAACTCATGAAAACACAACAAACAATCAATGAACACATAAGAAAACCTTTGGTCCTAAATGTTTGTTAGTGTTGTCATTGATGTTTGCTGTGTTTTCATAGGTTGTCATTTGTTTTCATTGTTTTTGCATGGTTTCATAATCTTTCTATGTTTTTCCACGTTTTTCGCTGAGATGTGTTTGTTCTTCCTTGTTTTCTTGGTTTTCCGCTTCTGGCTCGCGGAAAAATATAGCGGCCATACAAAAGGATTCCTTTTGTGGCGGCTTTACAAAAGGATTCCTTTTGCGGCGGCCTTACAAAAGGGAGCCCTTTGCGGAGGCCATGCAAAGGATTCCTTCGGTTGGTGTTTTCACCCGGTTTTTAATGTGTTCATTGCTTTGTGCTGTGTTTTCATAGGTTTTCTTTGGTTTTCATTGTTTTTGCATGTGTTTTCACACTCCTTTCTGTTGTTCCTTTTTTTTCGTTGTGTTTTCCTTGTGTTCCTTGTTTTTCCTTGTTTTCCGGGTTTTCCGCTGCTGGCTCCCGAAAAAAATATAGCGGCCATACAAAGTGATTCCTTTTGCGGCGGCTTTACAAAAGGATTCATTTTGTGGCGGCCTTACAAAAGGGAGCCCTTTGCGGAGGCCATGCAAAGGATTCCTTCGGTGGCGGCTTCACAAAATGTTTCCTCGTGTCGCGGTACTACAAAAAATCGTTGTTCTTGCGATCCAAGCGCACCCCTCGATGGGTTCCTTGTGCTTTACCGTCGTCACAAAGGAAGAATTCAGCTTGAATTGTGTTGTCTTGGCGCGGGATGCTTGTCATGAGATACGTATCGGAAGAACAACATTGCTATCGAATTCGTTCTCTCAGATAGCTTGAGCCGCGGCGGGCGCACCCCTTGGGTTTTTTTTTTGATTCGCGCTTCAGAAAAGGGGAAATTATGCACAGTTGCTTTGAAAAGTTGGGTGGTGCATGCCTATTGTGAGAACCGCATCGAGTGTAGCACATCGCTATCAATGTCGTCTTCTTTAGGAATTTGAATTACGGCGGACGCACCCTTGAGAGTTTTTCGTTTTATTATCTCTAAAAGGGAGAAATTATACGCATTTTCTTGTGAATTCTGGGCGCGGGGTTACGGCCGGTAGAAGCACAACGGGTGTAGGCTTGAAGCCTCTGTTTTATTTACGTAAGGAATTTCTTTCATGGCGTACGCGCGCGCTGAATAGGCCAGCGCGTTGTGCATTTTTCGGGGCGCTGTTTGTCTGCTAGCCAGGACGCCAGAATATAATTAAGTAAAAATTGTATTGTGACGACGGTAAAACACAAGAAACCCATCGAGGGGTGCGCTTGGACCGCAAGAAAAAATATTTTGTAGTGCCGCGACACAAGGGAACATGTTGTGAAGCCGCCACCGAAGGAATCCTTTGCATGACCTCCGCAAAGGGCTCCCTTTTGTAAGGCCGCCACAAAATGAATCCTTTTGTAAAGCCGCCGCAAAACGAATCACTTTGTATGGCCGCTGTACCGTTTTCGGGAGCCAGCAGCGGAAAACCATGAAAACAATGAAAAACAAAGAAAACAAGGAAAACACAACAAAAACAATGAAAAACATAAAAGGACTGTGAAAACACAAGAAAACACAATAAAAACCAAAGAAAACCAACAAAAAGCAATGAAAACATAAACATAACGAAAAAAAATAGGGGGGGGAAAAAAAACCTAAGGAATCCTTCGCATGGCCTCCGCAAAGGGCTCCCTTGTGTAAGGCCGCCACAAAAGGAATCTTTTTGTAAAGCCGCCACAAAAGGAATCCCTTTGCATGGCAGCTATATCTTTTTCGGTAGCCAGCAACGGAAAACCAAGAAAACAAGGAAGCACCCGGAAAACACTACGAAAAACAATGTAAAACCAAAAAGGAATGTGAACACACAAAAAACCATGAAAACAAATGAAAACATATGAAAACACAACAGAAATCAATGAAAGCACTAAAAAGCATTTGAAAACAAAGGTTTTCTTATGTTGTCGTTGCTTTTTGCTGTGTTTTCATATGTTTTCGTCAGTTGTCATTGTTTTTGTGTGTGTTTTCACAATCCTTTTCTGTTTTTCCTTGTTTTCGCTGTGTTGTCCTTGTTGTCATTGTTTTTCCTTGTTTTCCTGTTTTCTTTTCCGCTGCTGGCTCCTAAAAAAAATATTAGCCGTCTTACAAATGGATTTCTTTTGTGGCGGCCCTACAAAGGGATTCCTTTTGTGGCGGCCTTACAAAAGGAATTCTTCTGTGGCGGCCTTACAAAAAGGATTTTCCTTTTGCGTCGGCTTTACAAAAGGATTCCTTATGTGTCGGCCTTACAGAAAGATCCCTCGTGTGACGGCATTACAATCGGATTCTTTGTGTAGCGCTTTTACACAAGGAATTCAATTGTGTTGCATCTACAAAATGATTATCGTTGCAGCGAGTTTAGAAAGAGAGAGAGAGAGAAAGAGAGAGAGAGAGAGAAAGAGAGAGAGAGAGACACAGAGAAAGAGAGAGAGAGAGAGAGGGAGAGAAGTTGAGAAAGGGCTTTCAAGTTAACGGTAAGACCAGCAGAGGCGCCACCCTCATCCAGCCTCCCGCCCTCCTCCTCCTCCTCCTCCTCCTCCTCCTCCTCCTCTTCCGCCTCCTCCTCCTCCTCCTCCTCCTCCTCCTCCTCCTCCTTCCGCCTCCTCCGCCTCCTCCTCCTCCTCCTCCTCCTCCTCCTCCGCCTCCTCCTCCTCCCCTCCTCATCTCCTCCGCCTCCTCCTCCGCCGCCTCCTCTCCTCCTCCTCCTCCTCCGCCTCCTCCTCCTCCCTCTCCTCCTCCTCCCTCCGCCTCCTCCTCCTCCTCCTCCTCCTCCTCCGCCTCCTCCTCCTCCTCCTCCTCCTCCCTCCCTCCTCTCCTCCTCCCTCCTCCTCCCTCTCCGCCTCCTCCTCCTCCTCCTCCTCCTCCTCCTCCTCCTCCTCCTCCTCCTCCTCCTCCTCCTCCTCCCTCCAAAGTACGCCTGTCGTCGAGGTCCCTGGGGCCCTGGGCGATGCCTCGCGGACCTCGGGGCCAGGCCGCGCCGGGTCTCCGCTCCCCGTCCCTTCCTCTCCCTCTCAGCGCTCCTGTCCGCCCCGCCCTTCCCTCGACCGACTCCTCCAGCGAGGCAGGAGGCGGGGCGCACCGGCAGGAACAGCAGCCACGGTCGTCAGAGTCCTGCCTCGGATCCCTGCCGGGGACCAGTGGGCATGGACGCGTGTCCTCGCCCGCGGGGGAGCGCAAATATCTCAGGTGTCCGTAGCCACCACTCCTGGGGTTCCCCCAGGACATGAGGAGAAGGTTCCAGGTGGAAACAGGTCCTGGACCCTGGTGGGGCTTTCCCCGGACCAGCTTTCATGCCGGGAGTTTAGCTGGCGATCCCAAAGCGCCAGAAGTGCCCTGGGAGTCTGGAAACTGTTTTACAACTTCAGGACCCCTGTCGTCCACGACACCACTTCCCCATGGCAAGATATCCGATTGAGCAGGAGGTACGCGTGAGATCAAGACAGGGGGCGCCCTCCCCACAGCCAATGGACAGGGCAGCCACGGAAGCAGCAACAGAGCGTTGGCGACCGCCGGTGCCCAGCTCTGCGGCTAGCGGTACGTGGTGGCGACGAAGCTGCCCGGCTCGGGCTGGGGCAGGCTGAAGCTGGCCGCGCCGGGGACCGGGCCCTGCGGGAACGGGAACTGCTGCTGGAAGCTGCGCGCGCCGGGGAGGCCGCCCTGGGAGGGGAAGCTGCCCGCGCCGGGCTGGGCCTGGGCGGGGAAGCTGCCCTGGGCGGGGAAGCTGCCCGCGCCGAGGCCGAGGCCCGCGGCCTGCTGGGCCGGGGAGCTGCCCGCGCTGTGGCCGAGGCTCGAGGCCTGCTGGGCCTGCTGCAGGTCGCCCTGCTGCAGGCCGCCCTGCTGCCAGCCGCCCATGCCCGCGGCCGAGCCGACGGCCGACGTGGGGAGCCCCGCCACGGTCCTCCAGATGGGGCGGAGGGTTGCAGGAACGGAAACTTCTGGGCCGCGTTGCCTCACTCGGCGTCTCGACATGGGGCGGAAGGGGGGTGACGAACCAACAACACACACACCCATACCCACACGGGGATCGGAGAGGGCTATGGGTGCGTGTTGTCAGATGGAGGTCCCCGCTCGAACGGGAGCGTTCCCCAGGGTCCGACAACCCGCACCCATACCCGTAGCCAGTCCTCCTCCCAACGACCTCCCTATGGGTATGGGTGTGTGTTGTTCGTTCGTCAGGGGGGGGGGGTCTGGCTCCGGGCCTCTGCTGGGCGCGGTTGCCTGCAGCGGTGCGGCCTGTGGGGGCGACTCCGCTGACTTGAGGCAGGCACCGAAAACAGCAAAGATCTGCTCCATGGGAGGGGGGAAGGGGGGTGCGAGGGCCCGCGCCGATCGGCAAAACAAGGGTCAAAAAAGATTCCGTAAAACATAAACTTCTGGAGGTCCGCGCGGAGTTCTTGGATCTGCGCTGGAGCCCCCTCCCTGGCGCGCCAGGGGCGGCGCCGGAGGCGCCGCCAAGGGGCTCCAGCGCAGATCTCAGACACCGCGCGGAGTTCCGAAAGCTTGTGTCTTCGCCGTCTCTGTGAGTCGATCCTCGCGCCGGGCTGGGGTGGGGTCGTTTGCGTGTACTGCGGGCTGGGATTGTTCTCCCGGACCCACTGCACCATGCCTTGCGAGCGGCGAGCCCTGAGATCCAGACGCTGCACTTGCTTCACACTGGGCGTCTTCGTCGGGCCTCGGGCCCCAGGGCCCTCGCGGATCGGTCCGACTGGAAAAGTCCGGACCTGGGGCCCCCGTGTGACTTGTCACGATGTCTGCGGGACGGGAAAATGACCACAGCCACTGCTTCTTGCTTGCGCCGCCTTCCGGCCGGCCGAAAAAGAAGCAGTGGTTGTGGTCATTTTCCTGGTGCCAGGCTCAACGAAAAGGACCACAACCACTGCTTTGTTGCTGCGGGCTGGAAGGCGGCATCAAAAGAAAAGCAGTGGCTGTGGTCGTTTTCGCGCCCCGTAATGTTGGAACTGTTCCGCAGCGTCGGATCTCGAGGCACAAACTCACGTCCACGCCCTCGCGGCCTGGGCTCTGGGGCGGCGATCCCGTGGGCACGCGGGCGCCCTGGATGCTCCCCGCGCGGGGCAGCTGCGAGAAGGCGCCCCGTATGTCCCTGGGCTCGCGGCCCCGGGGGCCCGGGCCGCGAGGCCGTGGGTGTGGAGGCGTCTTCGGCCCAGGAGCACCGTCTATGAACCCCTTGGCGTACGTGTCCTCGAGGTTCGGCGGGGGCTCGGGCAGCCTCTGCGTGACTGGAATCATGGGCCCCTGTGCCACCACTTCGGTGGGAGCTGGCTCCAACGACTTCGGCTGCGGCGCAGGAGAGTGGTGCTCCTCCTCCTTGGGAGTAGAAACGGTAGCGGAGCGGATACTTTTTTTGGGGTGGCCGCTGTTTGCGACCGCCAGGGCGCAGGCGAGGCAACAGAGGAGGACGATGAGCATGGCCAGAAGAAGCCACAGCAACTTAGGCGGGCGGAGGTACTCGCTCACGCTTCCAAGGAACGGCCCAGATGTATCACTTGCACCGAGGAGCTTTGAGCTATTCGTGGTCGTCACTGAGGTTGATGTCGGTGCTTCCGTCGTTGTCGTATCGGTGACAGACGCCTGGGGGAAGTCAGCGAAAGCTGCGGCAGCGCCACCAGGTTCAGTCGGCTCAGTCGTGGTGGTGGTGGTGCTCGTGCTCTTGTCCTCATTGCACCTCCCGCCTATCAACTTGTTTTTGATAGCGTACATCGATGTGCCGGACAAGATACCCGGGATTTTCAGGAACTCTGGGCAGTTGTCGTCGGAGTCCGGGTCGGCAGGGGCCAGCTCCTTCAGGTAGCAGCCGTCCTGCATCCCGTTTGTGTCCGCATTCGTCGCAAAGCTCCACACGTTGCACTTGGTGTTGTTGCCGCAGCGCGAGCAGCACTCCTCATAAGTCCCAACCTCCAGAGTAGAGGGCAGAAAATCCACCCCCAGAATAATCACCCCGACAAGCGAAGCCGTTTAGTAAACGCCCCCACGGATGGAATCGAACAGGACAGGGCTGCTTAGTAAACGCCCAGGGCCGCTTAGTAAACGCCAATTGTGGGGGTCTGGGTGGTTCTTCCACCCTCTACAGAGGAACAAAAAAAAAAAAAAAAAAAAAAAAAAACGCCACGGCGCATGTATAAAAAGGTCCGCGAAGGCATTCTCGGGCCGGCGCGGTGGACACCCCCGGCATGGCACCGGGGGACCCAGCACCGACCCGAGACATCCGCGCGGACCTCGTTGGCGTCTTCGTATTCGGCGTTTCGACATTGGGCGGAAGGGGGGGGAGGGCGGGGGTCTGGATCCAGACCTCTGCAGAATGCGACTGTTTGCAACACTGCGTCCTATTGGGGAGACTCAACTTGCTCGAAGCAGGCGCCAAAGACAGCCAAGATCTACTCCATGGGGAGGGAGGGGAATGGTGCGAGGGCCCGCGCCGATCGGCAAAACAATAAATAAAAAACGATCACCTCCGAGAGCTCATGCTTACATGCCGCGGTTCGCCCTTCTAGATGAAGAAGGGCGGCGTAAGCATAAACGTTTGGCGCTCCGCGCGGATTTCTTGGATCTGCGCTGGACCCCCCTCCCTGGCGCGCGGAGCGCGCCAGGGGCGGCGAAGGGGGCGCCGCCGGGGGGGGCCCAGCGCGGATCCCAGAAACCCGCGCGGAGCGCCAAAAGTTTACGCTTATGGCGTTCATGCCCTCCTCGATGATGTGCCGCGGTTCGCCCTGCGAGCCTCGCTGGTGTCGAAGATCTCGAGGTGCTGGTTGGTGTAGATCGTGTAGTCCTTCCACACCGGGCCGCAGTCCGCCGGGGTCTCGTTCATGGGGATGTCCGCCTTCTTGAACTTCCCCTGCAGCTCGTCCAGCCAGGGCTCAAGCGCCTCCCGTGCTGCCCCGCTCCTGGGGCATAGCGGGATAGGGCGACGACACCGCTGCGCTCCCGGGGCGCGTTGAGAAGACAAGGCGCTCGAGGCGAATCCAGCCGTGGCGACGAGGGCCTCCCAGGAGGCTCAAGAGGCCGGAGACGAAGGAAGGTAGCGGTAGCCCCAGACATCCGGCGTCTCGAAAAAAATCGGCACTGAGGATTTTGATCGTTTTCGGCCTCTGACGGCCCTTACCGGGCCTCAGGACCGTCAAAAACCGACTAGGGACGAAAAGCCAGCCCCGGGGAAGTGGTCGAGAGGTCCGGGGCCCGTGTCTCGAAAAAATCGAGACGCCGGATGTTTGGGGCGGTACGGCAGGTCCGTGTCGTGGCGACCCCAGCCGTGGTTTCTGAAACCGCGTGGATCGTTCCACCTTGAGCAGGCGGCTGCTTTTCGATCGCCAGATCGTTCCAAAGTGGCCGACCCTAAGCCACGGGCGGCGTTCCACCTTGAACGCCCGCGGCGGGGTCGCCGCCGCGTCGCCTCGACACGATCTGCCGCGCCTGGTCCCCCGCAGCTGCGGATGAGAGGGGAGGGGCGGTGCGCAGGCAGGGCGTGTGCGCGCCAGTGCCCATCCCCAGCGCCCACCCCCAGAGCCCACCCCCAGTGCCCACCCCCGGTGCCCACCCCCACTGCCCAGCCCCCGTGCCCAGCCCACAACCCCGCTCGGGCAGCGCCCGTGCAGCCAGCGTGCTAGCGAGAGGAACGCAGACTGGCCCTTCTTCCAGCGTCTTGCCCGTGCCATGAGCGCCCGCGGCGGGGTCGCCGCCGCGTCGACACGGCGCGAGCACGCCGTGCCGTTGCCTCTGCCTCCGGGGGGCCGCACGACGGCGACGCCGACGACCCCTGGCCTCGCCAAGCTGACGTCGGAAGTCGCACGACAACGACGACGACGACGACGACGACGACGACGACGACGACGCCGACGACGACGACGACGACGACGACGACGAAGACCACCACCACCACCACAACGACCACCACCACCACCGCGACGACGACCGCGACGGCGACGACAACGAAGACCACGACGACGACGACGACGACGACGACGACGACGACGACGACGACCTCCTCCTCCCCCGAGCTCCCGCGCGGCGAGCCCCGCCGTGCCCCCCGCGCGCCGCGGGGGCCCGCGCCGAGCGCGGCGGCGGCGCCGGCGGCCGCGCAGGCGAGGCAGGCCGCCACCGTGGCCCGCCGCGCCCAGGCGTGGGGCCGCGCGGTGCCGAGATGCGGCGGCGACGCCTCTGGGCGGCCACGACGTTCTCCCCTCCTCCCTCCTCCTCCTCCTCCTCCGCCTCCTCCCTCCTCCTCCTCCTCCTCCTCCTCTCCTCCTCCTCCTCCTCCTCCTCCTCCCCCTCCTCCTCCCTCCTCCTCCTCCTCCTCCTCCTCCTCCTCCTCCTCCTCCTCCTCCTCCTCCTCCTCCTCCTCCTCCTCTCCTCCTCCTCCTCCTCCTCCTCCTCCTCCTCCTCCTCCTCCTCCTCCTCCTCCTCCTCCTTCCTCCGCCTCCTCCTCCTCCTCCTCCTCCTCCTCCCTCCTCCTCCTCCTCCTCCTCCTCCTCCTCCTCCTCCTCCTCCTCCTCCTCCTCCTCCTCCTCGTCCCCCCCCATCCTCCTCCTCCTCCTCCTCCTCCCTCCTCCTCCTCCTTCTTCTCCTCCTCCCTCCCCCTCTCTCCTCCTCCTCCTCCTCTCTCCTCCTCCTCCTCCTCCTCCTCTTCCTCCTCCTCCTTCTCCTCCTCATCCTCCTCCTTATCATCGCCATCAATCATCATCATAATCAGCATCATCATCACCACCACCACCACCACCACCACCACCATCATCATCATCATCATCATCATCATCATCATCAGCATCATCAGCAGCAGCATCATCATCATCATCAGCATCATCATCATCGGTCACGCCTCCAGGCAGCCACATTGTGCTTTTTTGTTCACGAGCGAGCGAGCAAAACGAGACATGCATAGCAAGTCGTCTCAAAACATCGCTTGGCGCTGGGAGGTACCCAGCGGCAGTCTGAACGGACGCAGCTGGAAGCAGAAAGGCGGCCGACAAGCAGACGCCCAGACTCCAGCGACGTGGCTGCCCCGATGCGCAGCGCGCAACACGCAGCGCGCTGATGCGGAGCTCAACACGTCCGAGGCCACGCTGACGGCGAGGTCGGTCAACGTTGTTGGGAACCTGGCTTCCGCGACGCCGAACTCGCGCAGAACAGATCGTGGGAAAGCACGGACAAGCCTTTCCTGTAATTGGCTTGGCCACGAACCACCCCCACCTGCAGAACCGCAGCCCACATCGCCGTTGCCCACATCGCCGCTGGCGTGTCTGCGGCACGTGGGCTGGAAACGCAAGCATGACGCGATAGGTTCGCCGAAACGTGGGCCCGTGCGCTGGGCCAACACGCAACGTATCGGCACGGGCGTTTTGAGCACGGCACGTGTTGCGTCTCAGAACGGGCGTACGGTAGAGGGAAACAATTAGTGAACACCCCCCCTGCCCCCCTTATTAAAGTTGGCACGCGCGGGGGGAGACTGCGGTCGCGGTGCAACTCATCAGACCCACCACCAGCTTTGAATATTGGGGGGAGGGGGAGGCGTTCACAGATGAATGTGGCATGAGTGTTCGCTATTTCCCAACCATCCTGTGGTGTTGGGTCCTCGTTTTGAAGAGACGGTGCCCCGCGTCCTCCTCTCCTCTCCTCTCCTCCGCCTCCCCCATCCTCCATCTTCCCGTCATCATCATCATCATCATCATCATCATCATCGTCATCATCATCACCATCATCGTCGTCATCGTCATCGTCATCATCGTCGTCGTTATCATCGTCATCATCGTCATCATCACCATCATCGCCATCATCATCGCCGTTATCGCCACCATCATCATCATTGTCATCCTCCTCATCATCATCAGCATCATCATCATCATAATCATCATCATCCTCCGCCTCATCACCTTCACCATTACCATCATCATCATCATCATCATCATCATCATCATTATCATCATCATCATCAGCAGCAGCATCAGCATCAGCATCAGCATCAGCATCAGCATCATCATCATCATCAGCAGCAGCAGCAGCAGCATGCGTCCCCTGCACCCATTTCGGCACACCCCTCACACGTTTCGTGGCCCCAAAGGGAGCTCCACCGAAGGCCCCAGTGGCTGCGCTCGCATGCGGTTCCACCCCCCTTTTCGGCACACCCCTCACACGTTTCGTGGCCCCACAGGGAGCTCCACCGAAGGCCCCAGCTGCTGCCCGCATGCGGGCGGTGATTCATGCGTTTTCGGCACACCCCTCACACGTTTCGTGGCCCCATAGGGAGCTCCACCGAAGGCCCCAGTGGCTGCGCTCGCATGCGGTTCCACCCCCCATTCTCGCACACCCCTCACTCGTTTCGTGGCCCCATAGGGAGCTCCACCGAACGCCCCAGTGGCTGCGCTCGCATGCGGTTCCACCCCCACATTTCGGCACACCCCTCACACGTTTCGTGGCCCCATAGGGAGCTCCACCGAAGGCCCCAGTGGCTGCGCTCGCATGCGGTTCCACCCCCCATTCTGGCACACCCCTCACACGTTTCGTGGCCCCACAGGGAGCTCCACCGAACGCCCCAGTGGCTGCGCTCGCATGCGGTTCCACCCCCATTTCGGCACACCCCTCACACGTTTCGTGGCCCCATAGGGAGCTCCACCGAAGGCCCCAGTGGCTGCGCTCGCATGCGGTTCCACCCCCCATTCTCGCACACACCCCTCACACGTTTCGTGGCCCCATAGGGAGCTCCACCGAACGCCCCAGTGGCTGCGCTCGCATGCGGTTCCACCCCTCATTCTGGCACACCCCTCACACGCTTCGTGGCCCATAGGGAGCTCCACCGAAGGCCCCAGTGGCTGCGCTCGCATGCGGTTCCACCCCCCATTCTCGCACACCCCTCACACGTTTCGTGGCCCCATAGGGAGCTCCACCGAAGCCCCAGTGGCTGCGCTCGCATGCGGTTCCACCCCTCCATTTCGGCACACCCCTCACTCGTTTCGTGGCCCCATAGAGAGCTCCACCGAAGGCCCCAGCGTCTGCGCTCGCATGCGGTTCCACCCCTCTTTTCGGCACACCCCTCACACGTTTCGTGGCCCCATAGGGAGCTCCACCGAACGCCCCAGTGGCTGCGCTCGCATGCGGTTCCACCCCGCATTTCGGCACACCCCTCACACGTTTCGTGGCTCCATAGGGAGCTCCACCGAGGAATATATCCACAATTGCGGTCTTCACAACTACGTATGGTTGGGTCTTTCGTCAGGCTAATTTTTGTCCAAGGCCTGTATTGAGGCAGCCAAGTTGAGCGACGATCGGCCACGGGTCCGACGCACGATGGCAGAGCGACCCGACGCCACAGATTGCCGCGGGCCGCCAGGGCGGCACACGCCACAGTTGGAAGCGAAGGGCGGCGCCCGCGCGAGACCCTACGCGGGCAGCTTACGCGCGAGTGTCGGCACAGTCGAATCCGTTTTCCGGCGTCGCCCACATGTATCGGGCCGGTCGAAAGGGGGGGATAGCAGAGGGGGGGTTTGAGAATCAGCTCACGTAGCTGATTTTCCCGGGCGCCTCCCGGCGCCGGAGGCGCCTGTGCATCGAGGAAGGAATGGGCCCCTCTGTGGGGACGAAACCAGCTGCATGCAGCAGACTTCGTAACCCCCCCTTTCCCAATCCCCCCCTTTCGCTCGGCCCGAATGTAGGAGAGGAATGAAAAGAGAGACTAGACGTATACGTAAAAAACAAAAAAAAAAAAAAACAAAAAAAAAAAAAACGAAGGGTGCACGACCTGTCCGCCCCATCTCTGCCTGCTCCGTCGGGAGGCCTGGCGGAGGAGGCGGCGGCCACCCGATGCCAGGATGCTGTGGAGCGATCGCCGATTGCAGCTGAGCTTCTGGCAGCAGCACTGCACGCCGTGTTGCGTCACTCGTGCAACTGCTGCGTCCGCGTGCCGCTGCCGCGTTCGCTCGAGCCCCGACGAGCCCCAGCATGGGGCGACACATGGACACGCGTACTGAAAGGGGCACGGGCCTGAGAGCGCCAGACGAATCGGGTGTGCGGAAGGAACGAGCGCGCGAAGCGTCCCCAGGAGGGGACGGGGGAAGGAAGGAAGGAAGGAACGACGGAAGGAGCGATGGCAAGACGGAGGGGAGGATAATTAGGCAGGGAGACCAAGGGCTCGAGGAGGCAAGGACAAGGCAGGGAGCGAGAGGAGTGCAACCACATAGAGACCCAATCCCTGCGGGTCGGATTTCTGGAACGCCGGCCGGGACCCTCTGAGGGCTCTCTTTGGGGGCCTGGGGGTCCTCTCGGGGCTCTTTGGGGGGGTCTGGGGGGCCTCTTGGGGCAGTCTTGAGCCCCATGGCTCGAAAAGAAAGGGGGGTCCTCAATTCAGACTCCCCCCCCCCATTCGGAGGCTCAAAATTGGTGTCTCGATGCCCCCTTGGGGGCCAGAGCGCGAAGCAGCTGCCCGCGGCCAGGCGAGCCCCAGCCCCCCCGGCGTCCAGCGAACCCGAAGGGACAGGGCTCGAACGAGCGAACGAAAGCACCGCTGCGGACAAACACCTGGGCATGGTCCGGACCCGGGTGGGCGAGGCCGTGGCCCTATGGATTTTTTGGCGTGTCTGGACACACGCGAGGCGAGACACTAAAAAGCTGTGAAATCCGAATAGATCGGGTCAAAAACCGCGCTGCATCGGCGATGCATCGGCGATGAACCAGCGACATCGGCGATGCATTGGAGCGCGCTTCTTTTGTGGCTCCGGCACCACAGCCGCGCCCGCGCGCACGACGACGATGGGCGACGAGCGACGAGCGACGAGCGACGACGACGACGACGACGACGACGACGACGACGACGACGACGACGACGACGACGACGCGAGCAGCATGTAGGTGGCGATCTGCCCCACAGCGCTTGTTTACACCACACTGCTCGCGTGCACCACAGCGCGCGTGTACATTACAGCGCCTGCGTACACCGCAACAGCCGTGTGCAACACAGCGCCTGTGTACACCACAGTGCTTGCGTGCACCACAGCGCCACTGTACACCACAGCGAATGTGTACAGCGCAGAAGCCACGTGCAACACAGCGCCTGCTTACACCACAGTGCTTGCGTTCACTGCAGCGCCTGTGCACACCACTGCGCCTGTCTACACCACAGCATCCGGGTGCAACGCAGCGCTGGTGTACACCACAATGCCTGCGTGCACAGGACAAGTAGAAGGAGCATGTAGGAGAGGATCTGCTGCGGACAGCTTCACGCCAAGCCAGGGAAGTGCTGACAATAGAATGCGACGTTTTCCCCTCCTCATTCCTTCTCCACCACCTCCATCCTCCTCCTTTTCCTCCTCCTCCTCTTCCTCCTCCTCCTCGTCCTCGTCCTCGTCCTCCTCCTTCTCCTTTTCCTCCTCCTCCTCCTCCTCCTCCCTCACCCTTCCCGCCTGTCGTGCGGGTCGGCGCTACAGCGCACGTGCGCATCTCAGCGTGCACCGCAGAATGGTCCATTGAATCACTCCACCTGGTTCTCGGACGGCCAATTTTGCTGGAGCCTCCTGGATGCAGATGGGAGGAGTTAGGATGATGCAGGCGGACTCGGGAGGACTCGTAGATTCCAGCGGCGCTTCTTTTCCCATAAGGATTCCTGCCTAAATCCATTATAAAACAATTGTTCCTGTGGAATCCACAGGCGTTCCATTTTGTCATAAAGATTCCTTCTCAAATTCTATATGCAACAGTAGTGCTCTGCTGCACACGGTTGCCGTGGTGCACACAGGCGCCGTGGTGCACAGAGGTGCTGCAATGCACGCAGGTATTGTGGTGTACACTGGTGCTGTGTTGCACACAGCTGATGTGGTGTACGCAGGCATTGTGGTGTACACAAGCGCTGTGGTGCCCGCAGGCACTGTGGCACACACTGGCGCTGTGTTGCACACGTCTGCTGTGGTGTACATAGGCGGCGTGGTTACACAGGCGCTGTGGTGCACGCGTGGTGCACGCAGGCACTGTGGTGTACAGAGGCGTTGTGATGCAGGTCGCCATCTACATGCTGCTGCTACCCGTCCTCGGTCATTCTTGGGCATTCCCAGACGCCGCCGGCGCGAAACGTGACGTCATCGGCCTCCTCCACCCCCACCCCTACCCCCAGATGATTGCCGTCATCGGCCTGATATATATATATATATACATATATATATACACATACATACATACATACATACATACATACATACATACATACATGCATGCATGCATGCATGCATGCATGCATGCATGCATGCATACATACATACGTACATACATACATACATACATACATACATACATACATACATACATACATACATACATACATACATACATACATACATACACATATATAGTTTTTACATAAACAAACAAAAGAAAGAAAAAAAAAAAAAAAAAAAAAAAAAAAAAAAAAAAAAGGCTCCAGCCGCGTCCGCGCGCACGACGACGATGAGCGACGAGCGACGAGCGACGACGACAACGACGACGACGACGACAACGACGACGACGACGACGAATGCGGACCAGACTCCTATGCAAGTTTCCATGCGGACAACTATGCGGATCCCGATGCGCATGGCGGCACTGCCTGGAGCGCACTGGGGGGGGAGCGTTACGTCATAGGGGGGGGGGGCGGGTGCCATGACGCCCGTCGTGCCCCAAGCAATGAAGAAGCACGCTCTTGGCGACGTCGGCGTGGAGAAAATCTGTCTCCACATCGAACCGCAGCGCTGGTGCAAACCGCGATGCGGCGCGATCCTGCGGCCCCCTCTACTGCCCGACCCCCTCTGGGAGGCCTGGATGGATCGGAGGGGAGCGGGAAACCCAGGCCCCCGACGTAAGGATTTGTTCCTCACGTCGGCCCCCAGAGGTTGACTACCTACCAGACCACCTCAACCCAACCCGAAGACTCGAATTTCGGGTTGGGGGGGGTATGGGCTCCACATGTGTTTTTTCGATGTTCCCAGACCCCCCCCCCACTAGAAATCGAGGGTAAATCTGAGCCTTCGGGTTGGGTTGGGGTGGTTTGGTAGGTGGTGAGAGGTCCCGACCCGTTCCCCATGGCCTGCTTCGCACCCTGAGTCGTTTGGTTGACGCTCCCGAGGCCCGGGTGGGGGCCCCCAGCGGCCGAAAGTAGCGACAAGCCTCCCGTCGTGCTTTTTGTTCGTGGCTCGAGGGGGCCTGGGAGCGGAGGAGGAAGGCCCTGGGAAGGGGCAGCGAGAGTCCGGGTCCCCTGGCCTCGGCGCCAGCTGACCAGTTGCGACCTCCAGCTTGCGCAGCAGTTTTAGAGTTAGAGATAGAGTTAGAGTTAGAGTTAGAGTTAGAGTTAGAGTTTCGTCGCGGAGCCTCCTGACCCGCCGCCGGCAGCAGCGGGTCGCCGTCCCCGCGCCCCTCGCCGCCGCGCATCGGCCCCCGGCAGCGGCGCGCCCCTCGGCCAAGGGCGGTGTCGGCAGCGGCCGCCTGGCCGAGGGTGCCACCGACGTGTCGCGCCGCGTACAGTAGGGGGGGGGGGGCCCGACGCTTCCCGCGGCAGCTCACGAAAGCCTCCCATACCGCCTTGCTGGCTCTGGCGATGCGGCGTGACTCGACGCCGGTCGACGCCGATGGACGCCGAATCGACGCATAGGCGCTGCTCGACGCCGAATCGGCGCAATCTCATGGACTGCCAGGCGGCAGCCGACGCGAGGGCCCTCTAAAGGCGGAAATGCAAATATACAAGGCTCCCATGATTCACTGCCGAATTTCGGAGCTCTGGGCCTCGCGAGGGATGCTCAGGAAGCCGGCTGCGCCTCCCTGAGCAGGCTGGGGTCATACCGTTGAGGGAGCACAACTCTGCAGAAGGCGTTCAAGAAACCACTTCGCACGACACCTCCTCCACCCCCTGGGCCGTGATACTGGAGAAGCGCCTCCCGAGAAGCGGGGCCAGAAAAACGTGTTCTTTGATCCCAACATCCCGAACGCAAGAAGTTCGGGCGGTGTTCTTGCAAAGTGTTTTCCTTCATCCGTCTTGCTTCAGTAGAGGCCTCCTAGATGGGGTCGCAGCACATGGGGTCGGAGGATCGCGCCACATCGCCGATACATCGGCGATGCATCGGCGATGCATCGGCGACGCATCGGCGACGCATCGGCGATGCATCGTCGACGTGCGCGATGCATCGGCGACGTCGGCGTGGAGCAAATCGGGCTCCACATCGAGCCGCATCGCCGATGCATCTTCGATGCGGCACGGCCCTCCGACCCCCTCTGCTCCGACCCCATCTAGGAGGCCCTGGGTCAACCGTCTTTGACTACCTACCAGACCACCCCAAAGACCCGAACTTGACCCGCATTTCGGGTTGGGGGGGTACGGGTTCCACGTGTGTTTCCAATGCTCCCCGACACCCCCCCCACTGGAAATCGAGGATAAGTTTGGACCTTCGGGTTGGGTTGGGGTGGCTTGGTGGGTGGTGAGTCTTGCTTCAGGGCCCACCTCGAGCAGCACCCGATCGGCGCGCGGCGCGGCAGCACCGCCAGGGGCGGGCGCGCGCGGGCGCGCTCTGCCAGCGGCAGGCGGCGCCCCCGAGCCGCAAGCTGTTGGCCGGCCCCGCGCGCGCTCGCGCGTTCAGGACGAGCCGACGTCTTGGGGCTCGCCTGGGCCGTTTTGGGGCGCCTTTGGGGGCCTCGGGGGCCGTCTTGGGCGATCGTCGGCGGCGTCGGCGTCGCCTTCGTCGTCCTCCTCCTCTTCCTCGTCGTCGTCGTCGGCGTCGTCGGCGTCGTCGGCGTCGTTGTCGTCGCTCGCGTGCGCTTCTCCCCACCCGGCCGGGTGGCGCTCAAGAATCTACGAGACATGCTTCGAATGCCGCGCAGATCTACTGACTATTCTACGTCTGCTTCTTGTGGGCTCGACGATGCCACTTCTGGGGTACATCAGTTCTGTAGTCGACCCCCTACTTGAACATCAATGCACATCGGGGTGCCACCGTGGTGCGTGTCCCCAGGGCGGAGGAAGACTGCTTTGCTTCGGCCAGGCAGCCGGACCTCTGTCCGCGAGCCCTGGTGCGGCAGCAGCAAGCGCAGTAAATGTTTTTCCCTTGAGCCAACAAGAGTACGCGTGAGATCATGACACGCACACTATATGCAAAACCTGAGACACAAATTATGCTCACCTGTTTCACAGGTAAGACTTTCTCCCAGGTTTTGCAGCCCCGAAGCGCTCGGCCCCTGTGGCCTGCGCCTTTCGCAGTACGTCTCCTGAGACGACTGCGCAACCCTCTTTAAAGAAAAGGAAAACAGGAAAAGCATCCTGACACTCCAGCAACAGACTTACTGAAACATGGCATTGGAGGACAAAGCAGAGGTGGAGAGAGAGAAGGAGGAGGGGGAGGGACGACCACCACCACCAACCTCCTGGACCAGGTCTTGGAACTCCTGCCACGTCACCAGCTGCTGGCCCTCTAGAGTCTTCCTGGAGGCGGCCTGGGTCCGACTCTTGAGTCCTGGCGTCGTGCGTCGTCGCTCTACCTCCTCGGATTCGTCGACTAGGATCAGCTTCCCGCTGATCATGAGGTCGAACAGTGCTGCGTTGCCCTTGGTGATGTCGTCCTTCGTCAGGGCGTCGACTGGCATTCGGCCATGGGGAATCCAACGGATTTTCCCCTTCGCCTCCTCCAGGGCAGCACATATGATGGCCATGTCGATGGCCGTCCTCCTGTCCCGGGCGCTGGCGTTGCCTTCCTTCATCATGGTGTCGTAGATGCTCTTGGCGTCTACCACGTGGACCTGACGCTCACGAGAGCCTAGACGACAGTCGCTCCGGAGCATGGTCGTGAAGGGCCCGGAGCCACGACGGTGGTCCTGCACGTTGACATCCTGGAAGACCACGTCCCGGTACAGGATTTGCAGGAACTCGACTTCGGCGACAGCAGCACTGAGCGCCTGAGTCTCGCCAGCGAGAGTCGACGGCACCTTCCGGCGAAGCTTAGAGCTTCTCCAGGACAGCATCGAAGCCTTGACGGCCTGATTGCTGAGGACGTCGGCGTCGGCAGCAAGCACCATCCAGGCCCCCTGCGTCGGGTCGTCGGGTAGGCCCTTGTCGTCCAGCATGTCTTCTTTGGCGCCCACGCCGCCGGCGTCCGAGAAGGAGACAAAGGCCATCCTCTCCGGATCCAGCTTCCACACCGTCAGTCCTCGAGAGGCGGTGGATCGGAGGTGGCGGACGAGACGGTTGGCCAACGACACGTCTCCGGTAGTCGGTGCCTTTAACCTACTGGCGAGGATCGAGGCCACTCCTGCTGCCTCGGGCCTGGTCTCTCGTCCTACCCAGTTGAATTTATATACCAGTGATCGGAGGGCCTTGAACTCGGAGTGTTCGAGAGGTGAGTCTTTGCGGGCCAGGCGGCCTCGGGCCATTGATATGGGCTTGACTTCTTCTAGAATATACTTCTCTTGGTCCAGCACCGCACGGCTAGGACCAATCGTCACCCTCCGGCCGGCAAAGTCGACCGGGCCCTCGTGGCAGTTCCTGTACTTGCCGAACTTGAATCGGGATTCCAGCGTCTGTCATAGCCAGCTCCTAGTCGTAGAGTCAGCGCTGGCGATGAAGAAATCATCGACCTCAAGAAGAACCATGTTCAGGATCTGGCCCCGGGAACCGTACCGTACCCACCAGCAGGGTTCGAGGAGGCTCTTGATGAACCCGTGCTGCTGGAGGAACTTGATCACCGTGCGTCTCCAGGCAACTGGGGCGTCGTCCAGGCCGTAGACGTTGACCCGCAGTAGGATCAGTGATCCCTTTGCCAGCTCTATGCCCTCGCACGGTTCGACGTAGATGTCCCCCTGCGACCGTGTCATGGGGTCGGACTGGCAGAAGGCGTTTTTGACGTCAGCGATGTCCGCCAGCATGCCCAAATTCATGAGCACCTGGACGAACAACATGATGCTGGTCGTCTGGGGAGTCGGGGCATAGACCTGGAGAGATCCTGAGTCTGGGTCACGGTGTCCGTGAACGCACCAGCGGGATTTGGCCGAGGGCTCCGATCCGGTGCCCTCCACGGGCTTCCAGCGCCGGACCATCCGACTCGAGATAATCCGCTCCGGTTGGGCCTTCCGCACGGCTTCCGCCTTGGAGGGAGGTATGACCTCCACCGCTCCGGTGGCCATCATCGCCTCCCATTCTTTCTGGTCGGCAGCTCGAAACTTCTGTCGTTCATCGGGCGTAAGCTGCTTGAGGCTGACCTCGCCTCCACGGCTGGCAGCGAAAGAGCCGCTCCCCGGGGCAATCAGTCCAGTCCAGTCGTCGCTGTGGCCACCCAAGACCTGGCTGGCCAGGACCGCCTGGACCCCCTGGGTACCACCACCACCACCACCGGGGAGGAGGAGAAACTCTTCCCTCTCCTGCTCCACTCCCGCCAGTCCCTCCTGCCGGTCGCGTGGCGACCGGCTCCGACCTCGGACGCGGCCCGTCTCGAAGTCCTGGATGATGTCCGAAACTGGCCTCCTACCCTCGGCCCGAGAGATTGCCGGGCGCTCCTCCCCTTCTTCACCGCCCGGGGAGAGAGGAGGAGCAAGGGCGGAGGACGGAGCCGGCGGAGCGGGAGCAGAGGCCGGAGGTGGGAGACCCGGAGGAGGAGAGGGAGAGGAGGCTTGACCTCCGGTGGGCTGCTCACAGCCCTCGACCTTTGGATGCACAAGGGCACGTCCTCTGGCTGCCTCAGCCTCGTTCTGGGAGTGGGACGGCTCGCCTCCGGAGGAGCAGGAGGGGGAGGAGGAGGAGAGGTAGGGGAGTCCCCTGGCTCAGCCTCACCCCCGACAGGTCCCGTCTCAGAATCGGGACCCGTCACTTGCCTGGAGCCTCCGCCTGATGGTCCAAGATCCTCCCCGGACCCCTCCGCGATGGAGGGAAGCCTGGTCCGCTCGCTGCCGGCTTGAGCGCCCACCGACCCCGCCTCCGAGGGGGGTCTCGGTCTTCCCAGGGCCTGCGACACGGACTCTCTTGGGTTGGGCGGAGGCCCGAAGGCCGACGGAGGAGAGGGAGGAGACGGCGCTCCGACACTCTCGGGATCCTGAGCCGACCGAGGGACGGGTCCGGAGGTGCTCGGCACCTGGGGCCCTGGGTCGACGTCGGGCCTGGCTGGTTCGTCCCAAGCCTCATCAGGAGGTGGTCCCTCCCGCTGTACGTCCACAGCGGCCGCTCTCCGGGTATGTACCTGGGCCAGGAGCTCCTGCCACTGTGGACTCTGGGCCAGCTGAAGACCGCACTCCTCCTCGGGACTCGCAAGCCTGACTTGCTCGACAGAGCACTTCCAGAGCCTAGCCCGAACAGCCACCCAGACCGTTCCCCTTTCGCACAGCACGACCACCCCGGGACCGGTCCAGCAGGCTCTCCTACGCCCCAGGGCGTCCGCCCTTGACGACGTCCTGCTGAGATTTCGCCACACGAACACCCACTGGCCGGGAGTGAACTCCTTGAACGCGGGTCCCCG